TGATCTGTGATTTGTGTTCTATTCTGAATAAAATATTAGATGTTGGCACCTCCACATCATTGCATTCAGTTTTTATTCACAATTTGTTTAGTGTCCCAACTTTTTTGGAATCCGGTTTGTATTTGTGGAAATGTTTGTGCTTAATTTTCTTTGGGCATTTTTTCAGAATATGTATTTAATTAAAACTTTAGTTTGGTTTACAAGTTTTAATTTGTTGTGTTTTCTTAAATATCTAAATTGATGCATAGAGAAAATCTTCATAACACAATTTAGACACTTGTTTTTGACTGAAAGTTATATACTCTATATTTAAATAGACTTCTTGCTTGTGATCAATTCACTACTATTTCTCTGACTGCAGATTTTACTCTGACTTTAGCATTCACAAAAAGCATTCACTTTTTATGTGATAATCAGATTCATTTATTTTTTTATTCTTTACCAAGGAAGATTAGAAACATACTTTTTATTAGAATAAAACGAAAAACTCATTGTAAATACCAGTATATGAAACTTGCTTTGTTGACCTGCCATAACCTCAGCTGAACTCAAACCTTCAATCTGATCAGATGGGAACAGTGACGATGCCCCCAAGCTCTGAAGGAAATCAGACTTTATAGATTTCATAACCCCCATGCATTCAGTATTAAAGGAAAAAGACCTGTCTGAATATGGTATCAGTGAGCTTGCTGGCAGAATTAGAAAAGGACTCTTTGCATTCAAAGACAAGTTTAAATGTCCTTATGCATGCTCAATAATCCAGGTAGATAAATCTAACAAGGTTAAAGTCAGATTCTCTGAAAGGATTCTTCGTTATTGAAATGTTTCGTCTTTTATCGAACAGACTTTGTCAGTCTGAGGCCCTGCAAACAAACTCAGTCATAAATAGCACCTTCTCATGTTGGATCAACCAGTTTGCTGCTGACAACCAAAACTAGTTGTTCACGTGCAAAAGGAGGACCATCAGCCTAACAACAGATTGTTAGAGCCCTGATGGCCGCTTACCAGTAACAGAGTGATACTAGCATTGTAAGAGAGTGTAAGTTGAATTTGGCTCAGGTGACTCCTGTAGTCTGTGAAGCCGTCTGTGAATAGCAAGCAACCATCAGGGCCCTAACAACAAATTGTTACTTCTCTAAGATCTGTTGTTAGGCTGATGGTTCTCCTTTTACATGTGAACAGCTAATTCTGGATGTCACCAGCAAACCAGTTGATCCACTATGAGAAGGTGCTATTTAGGAGACTGAGGCCCTATTTACACAACGCCTTTTTGAGTGAAACCACAGCTTTTCTGCTGCGGTTCGGCCGTTCATTTACACAACAGCCCTCGTTTTCTGAAACTGAAGGTTTCTGAATCCAGGTTTCAAGTGGAGATTTTCAGGGGACACCCCCCACCCCCATGGAGGTGTGAAATGCTCCCCAAGTATGAAGTGCACATGCGCACAGGCGGCTGTAGTGAAAAGTTTTTCTACAATTCATCCATCCATTCATTATCTTTTTACCCACTTCTTCCTTGATTGCAAGGTGGTCACTGGTGGCCATGTCCAGCCATCACTGTACGAGAGGCGGGATGCACTCCGGACAGATCTCCAGTCCATCACATGGACACATAGCACATAGAGACAAACAAGACAAACAACCATTCACACTCACACCTAGGGACAATTTAGAGTTAGTTCCCAGTCAACCTAACATGCATGTTTTTGGTCTGTGGGAGGAAACCGGAGTACCTGGATAAAACCCACGCATGCACGGAGAGAACATGCAAACTCCACCCAGAAAGGCCCCCGGACCGGGGTTTGAACCAAGGTAACGTGCTCGCTGAGAGGCAGCAGCTCTACCAGATGTAACATCGTGCTGCCTTTCTGCAATTCAGTTCAGTTTATTTATATAGCGCCAAGTCACAACAGAAGTCATCTCAGGGCACTGAACAGAAACATTCACATACATAAAAAGTCAATTAAAGTTATCAATCTAAGGAAGCCAACAGATTGCATTGAATTTTCACTTCATCACAGTCTCCCATCCTGAGCAAGCACAAAGGCACTCACAGTCACAACAGTTATAATAAATGGCAGAGAAAGCAGAGTGTTTTTTGTGATACCCGTTTTCAGCATGTAGGAGCAAAACTAATAAATGCCAAGAGTCCAAAGAGATGTTGGCGTATTCATCAGTTTGGACACAACTGTGATCATACAGACGCTGCATGCGCGATGAATGCAGCTGAGCCTCAGGGTTGCCAGATAAATTTAAAATATCTTATTTACCCCCTCCTTTTCTGTGCACATGTTCACCAAA